TATTCCCTCCCGGCATAGGTGACACATCTCTGAGATGCGGCCAGACGATCGAGGCAGCTAAAGCCACATCAAAGCTTGCCTTGAATTTTTTTTCCTTTTTTTTTTTTCCCCCTCTCTTTTTCTTTTTTTGGAAATCATTAAAACAATGCATTTAGATCAGCATAGATAGGACCCAATGTGAAGGTCAGGAAAGCTGCAATAACAGTCTATAATAATTAATAGACTTGTCTAATACACAGTGGATAGGTTAAGAGAAAATTGCAAAAAAGGCTTTTGCATTCATGGGGGGGCAGGCCACCAAGAAAAAAATAATCAGTGCAAGCACTTAATAAAATTTAAAACCACAAGCTACAATGCTTTAATTGAAATCATGACAGTAACTAGAGTGGTGCATGTTCTTAGTACTCATGGTCAATCTAGATAATTAGTGTTAATTTTGCTTAATTATTTTTAAAAAGGCATCTTTTCATAACATCTGCTGGTTCCTCTTCATTGCCCATTAGAAGAAAAAAAAATAGTATGGTGCCTTTCTCCAAATAGTACCCCTCCAAATGGTATTGAACTAGTGTTAAGTATTTTAAACTTTGTAAAAACCCTCAGAAACCTAACTCATATAGATGTCTCTCAAAAAAGAACAGTAGAAGGGGAAGAGGGTGGGAGGTGTGGGGCATAAAAAGAAGGAGTTTAGAGGGTAAGAATCCTAAAAGTTAGAGAGGAGATACTTAAAAAGCCACCAAAGGCTGGGAGTGAGCACAAGGAGTAGAACAGTGATCACAGAACAGATGTACAGGGCTGTATACGGGAAATGAAAACACCATCCCGCAATGTTAAGGGAGAGAGGGGGAAATAATCAGATTTCACATCGCAAGGTGAAAGAGCTACCCAACAAAGAATTAGCATTTGACTGTATATTTTTCTATACAATTTAAGCCACATTTAAATAAAATAAATTACCATCCCAGTTCAGTCTTACTGTGAGCAATTAGAATACTAAAGCCCTGTGAACTCGGTGCTAACATTAACTCAGAGCTGTTTCTTAACTTGATTTCAGAGCCTTTCCACCCAAGGCATTCTATAATGAAACCTAATTTTATTATAAAGGGTGGTGTCATTTACATTGTTTGGATTTGGAGGCTCCCTATCCTTTGGACATGAAATCAATGCCTCGTAGCAGCAGCTGATGCTTTCAACTGCTTCCCACCCCTCCCCAAAGTCCTTCTCCCACAGTATCCCCTGCACTCTGTGAGGAGGGTAGCGAGGTGATTCAGTCTGTCTCACAGCTTCAGAAACAGCTTCTATCTGGAGTTATATAAGGAAGTTTTGCAAAGTGGCATGCTATCACTAGAGATTTAGTCATTCCATGTGGGCTGGATTCAAACTGAGATCTCAGGAGCTCAAAAGGCAGAGCGACACAGCCTCCATGGAAGCCTGTGTACGGCAAGAGTGTGAGAATAGAGCCTTGTAATGAGAGGAAGCACAGGTTTTATTAACAAACAGTACGGCAAACCACAATTTCTTTTAAGATCACTTCATACCTCCTTAGGAGAACTATAATTGGGGATGCCTTGATGTTTCGCTCTGTGACGAGTTAAGAATTATGCCTGAGTCACTGTACTAGCCTTCATTTAAACTTTAATGTGCATTTTGCATTGGGTAAAAAAACACCATTGCATTTACAACCTATCCAACACAGAGTGGGTACTTACATGCAGAGAACAGAATGCCAACAATTGGGTTTTAAATTATTTTTCTCTCTACCAGCACAATTTTGTTCAAGACAAACTAAATAAAGGGATTTATTACTTTATTTTCTGCTGCTTTCACTGTATGCAGAGAGAGGAAAAAGTAACTTATGAAGCTAGCAAGGAAAAGCAAAAAAAAAATAATAAAAAAAAATTACCAGAAGCAATGTCAATTTTTTTTAGGTGGCTAACACAGGATTTATAAAATCCAAAAGGTGTAACTGAGTTCAATACAGCTCCCATGTTGCAGCCCTTTGCAATAACACCCTGAATATTCTTACTTGTCTTCATAGCTATTTCAAAAAGAAAAGCAGATAAGCAGCAGCTTTGTTCTTTACATATAATTAAATTTTCAGAGTGAATTTAAAAATTAGGAATCTTTATAAAACTATAATCTTATGTTTGCAAACAAAAATGATCGACTGCACTCTTTGCAAAAGCACAGGAGCAGACATGCAGGTGCTGTTAAAGAGATGAGAAAATGAATCGTGTTCTTCTGAAAAACCTCAGAAATCAGGCTATACAAACCCTTGCAACAATACTGTCATCTGTTTAAATACTGGGACTATTGGGGAGGGGAGCTCAGCAGTGGTGGGAAGGCTTTCATGTGGTTACATGTTTATTTTATTTAATTTTTTTTGTTAACTCTTTTACTCTGTAGCTTTTACATATTAATATCAGCTCTATGAGAAGAGGGGGAAAATAAAACATTTGGGGAACTAGTGAAGAATCTTTGTATCACAAATACCTACCTGTTTTTAAGAATTCTCTGTAATTGTCCTTAATCTGGTTACTTTACAATTCTTTGTCATCACCATTTCTAAAACTCCCAAATCCTTTCCTGCAGAGTTCAGTATGTATTACTGATACATTACTGGGCACACATGTTCCACAAAGAAGATACCAGACAAATAAGTGATGTTAAAATACTTGTGCTTCTAAATATATTTATTCAAATACTTCACTGGTCCAAGCTTTCCATATGAAATCCTTCAGAAATCTGACCTGTAAGTAAACTTGACTTTACTCAGCCCTTCTTTTCAGTGATTACTAGAAAATAATAAAAAAATAGCAGTTCAAATACCTGCTTTGCTACAACAGTTAGCAAAAGCAGAGACTAATTTCAGAAAATATACTGAAATATTTGAGAAACTGACCATTAAAACAGGCTTCTTTCTACATATTTATGAGTCATTTTATAACTGGAAGAAAGGTATTCTGGAATACTGATCTCTAGTGTTACATCTACAGATCTACAGCACTCACAAATAAATAATAAATATTGATATGTGTGAAGGTCTCTCTACCTCTACTGTATTTTCAGTGGGTGTAAAATATCGTGTATAATACATAAGCTATTTAAATACCTCACACCAAACTCAAAACACTGTGAAATTCCGTGTAATTTTTAAAATGTTTCAGCAAGGGTTTGTACTAAAGCAATGCTTTCACTTTCAATACCAGTTTATAAATGTACTTTCCCCATCAAAGATTTTGTGATGCAAACATGATTATTACTGCACCTGATTTGATCATGGTATTCTTGGAGAGATCAAATAATGGAGTTTTTTTTCCACCCTTCTTTTTCTAGTGCCTTTTAAAAAAATTCCACTATCAAAGAATGTTAATTTCTAAGGATTGATCTAGAGATTCCTATGTAAGTATACAATTATTAGGGAAGAAGAGGCACAACAGTGAATATTTTAAAGCAATGTAATCAATATTTTTGCTTTGTGTAGATTTCCCTGCAACAATGAACAAAAAGATCTACTTCAGATTTAGAAACTCAGCTTTAAAGGGAAAGCTAGACAACAAAAAGCAAGAAAGTACTCACCTCTTCACGTAATTTTATCAACTGCAACATGAACGCACAAAAAAGATAAAAAGGAAAGAAATGGCAGGAAAGAAAGATCAGTTGTGTGACAGGATACAGAATTAACATTGACAATTTATCTGTTTACATGTTTAGCATTTAAAAATCACAGACAAACACATTAAAAGAACCTAAACATAGACTACATGCAGAGTTTTTTGAACGAATAAAGATCACTTTCTCACACTGTCACATTAAACAAAGAGAATAGTGTGAAATTCTCTTTTAAACCACATCTAAGACACCATCATGAAATAAAGGGGAATGACTTCATAGAAGTCTATATTATAAAGAAAAAAACAAGTTTACTATTCCTCTCTTCGAAGATTGTACAGCTGAAGTGGTTTTGTATATACAAGTTTTCAGAATGTTTTCTGTATATTTTAGTTGTGACAACTGATTTCTTATTTTACTAGCAGATCTAACTTATTAATAGATGACTGCATCTTTATAGCATATATTTCAGTATTTCAATTTTTATATACCTGAGTTCTACTGCAACTATATTATTTAATTTTATTATTGAACTTCATACTGAGGGTTTCTGCCAGGTAAAAAAATGAAGCAGCTTAGTTAAATGTCTCAGAATTATGATTTATTGAATAGCATATTTAAAAATAGACAAAGGAATAGGGAACAACATGAAACATATTTCCCTCAGAAAAGACCCATTCCAGGTTCTTGATCCAGACCACTATACAGTGTGTGTGTGTGTGTATATATATATATATATATATATATATATATATATATATATATATAAATATATACACATAGGGGGTGTGTGTATGCTTATATAGTATATAAATTTATATTTATTTATTTATGCTTGTAAATCAACACAATCTAACACAAATAATATTGCTCTGGCAGCTTTACTATAAAACTAAATAAAACCCCAGCCTGATTATCAAGCTATGTTGTAATATACTCGCCTCTTAGAGAGATAGATAAATTATTTGTACTGGAACAAAATGTATAATTACTCACAACAAATATCTGCACAAGAATGGCCCTTTATAAAAAAATTACAGTTCTCTCACCGATTCCAGTTCGAAATTACAACAGCAACACAATTATCTCAGTTTATGCTGATATGTCACCTACAGTTTCATAACATAGTTTTCAACACATGTGTAAGCTGAGAATGTTTACTACTAATAAAGTCTCACCAGCATGAAGGAAACAAAAGAACCTCCATTATTCTCTATTGTCTCATATGGCTCGTCTAAAACTGCAGGTTTGCCTCACCCCATTACCAAAAGGGACAAGAGCTCTAATGAGATGTAATTAGGGGGGCTCCTACACCACCCCAAGCTGAACGGGGCCAGCTCTTCTGCACCCAGCTAAAGGAACTTTGCTACAATTTGGTATAAAGAAAACCACACTGCTGGGCAAACCAGCGCTTAAATTCAAGTGCTTGGCCTATCATAAATTGGTCTCTTTCTCCAGCTCTTCCCCCCCTTTTTCCCCCAAAAAGGCAAACATTAAGGCTCTTTAGAAAGAGACGATCTGGGAGTTGATCACATAGCTATCTTTTCTTTCTGAGGCCACCATTCTTCAGTTGACTATGATACTTAAAGGGCCAAAGTTTAAAACGACTCTCCCGCAATAGAGCCCGGCCGGGCATGCCACCCTGCTATAATCAATGAGAGTTTTAAAATGCTGCACATTTGCTTTTTCAATAGGTCCCAAACAAAAATGTTCTATCTTGTTTGTGCTGCATGGCTGAATTTAAGCTCTGCATGGGATTTGCAGCTAAGCTAAGTAATGGGAGAGGGTTGGGGTTTTTTTAACATTGGCTGAAAGATATTCATTCAAATTAACAAAAGATGTATTTTTCCCCCATTTAACAATGCTCTTGATGAAAATGTGTTACCTTTACATTTCTATTTTGAAACATTATTTTTATTATGCTCACTCCTGAACTGTAAACAGCGTTAAGCCGTGCACAGCCACCATTTTAGGTTATGATAATCAGCATATTTTTAAAACAAAGATTTTTTTTCTTTCTTTTTTTTTTTTTTTTGCAATACAGAATTCGATACAAGTGGTAATCTGTTCCTTTGTAGGCTAAAAAAAAAAAATCTGGTTTACGCTGGTTTGAACCAGTGGAATCTCTTGTGGCTAAGCCTTCTGCTGTGACTAAAATCAAAACTGCACCACAGAGAGCGAGGGAGCGAGATGGGATGTGTGAGTGAGTGTGTGTGTGTGTGTGCACGCACGCGTGTGGCCGCGAGGCTCCTCACGTGACCCAAAACTACCGAATTTTTTTTAAAAAGCTGATAACGCCACCGCCGTCTCTGTCCGCATATAGATAACGAATAAATGCTGAACTCTATTAAACGCCCTTTACACATTATCGTGGGTCGAACACACAATTTTCTGAACTTATGATGACAGTCTATTTATTTCGCTATAAACCCTCGGCATGTAACGAACAGATTTGTGTCTGGTAATGATCTGCTCTGCCAGGGCTATATGAAATGATACCGACCTTCTTTAGATCTTGGCGAATTAAATTGACCAACTTCACCCCCTGGTCTGTAGCTGAAGTTTGACACACTTTATGCACAGCAAGCCCAAATCTAATATTATCACAACTTTGTAGTCAGAAATTAAGTAGACACAAAATATTTGTTCACCATGAATCACGTATAGAATGTATGGGTATACGGATATGCAGTTTAATCCAATGTGAATTTATTTAAACTTACTAATGAACATAGCTGCAAAAGAGAAAGGAACACTGTTACACCTCAAAAAGTTGGTAATACTGAGCTTCACATAATTTCAGTCGAGAGAAGTTTCTGATTTAACCCAACATATACTTTCTCAAAAACATGACTTGCTACATAAAACAGTTCTATTATTATTAAACTGAAGCTACAACTTTAGGTAGTGTATCACTGCACTGAAAAACTCAAAACTTTCAAGGGATTTGCTAAATGTTGGTGGCCAAGATGACAAACAAGACTTGAAATCAACAGCCTTTTTAAGACCACTCTTGGAAAATAAATAATAACCCAATGCACACAGTAGTTTTTTGGGATTGGGTTTGTAAGGAGAAACTTTTATTTTTGATGCAAGAAGAGATATTTCTTGATTTTCATCCTCTGAGTGCCACATCTGACTACATTCACATGATTCAAATTAAGAAGAAATTAACATATGCTAAACAATGACTTTAGTCAACTCTAGGATCATTAAGAGCACTATATCACTACCTGTCTCATGAAAACAAGCTGCACTTATTTTAAAAGAAACTTTCAATAGCAGAATTATATAATTCTTACAACTTCTCACAGGAAATGCCTTTATGCTCTATCTGGTAAAATCAGTTAAATTTTGGTATAGCCATTAGAAGGGAACTGTATTCCAAGTTATTCTGAGTGTCATCTAGACACGATGGCTGGTACTTTTGGGAGACATGTAAGGAAAATGAAGACAAAAGAAAAATCACTATTACCTATTCTTCAATCTGTTCTTCGTACTTCAATCTTTCTTCCTGAGAGAACAACTGGAAACTTATACCTACCATCCTATTCACTACAGCTTATAGCTTGGCTGTGGTTTGCTATAATTTTACCTTTGAAACTCTACTGAAAAAAGAGAAGCGGAATGAGGAAAAGATCCAGATAATTTAGTTTTCCAATAGTGATTTTATTTGTAGTTTTTTAATATGGTCATACTAGCCAGCAAGCATTAAGTTCCTTTTGTCTTCTCTCTCCACCAAAAACATCATGCAAATGTTTATCACAATGACAAAGACCAACAACTCATATCTCACAACCCTGACTACCCAGGTATTCAATATTTCTATTGGCAGATTTTACCAATTTTTGTGGTTTGGCACGGGAGCAATTCTGAGCTGGCAAGTTTTTTCAACACCTCCTCTGTCACAGTGTCTCCTCTTTCACAGTTGGTGACTGAATTGGGGAAAACAAACCCACCATTTTCCAAACTGATTGAGAAGTAAAATCCTACAATATTAGGGTCAGGATCAGTCCACGTACCGATATTTATTTCCATGAGACAAAACAAAAGCAAGCATTTGAAACATCTTCAAATATTTTACATCACTTCAAGTTATACCTGAGCATCCTTTCATCATTTACTTCAAGTTTTCTACTGATATAATAATGTATAGGAGTGAAAGCATATTAAACCTGGGGTTACTGAGTTAAACACAACAATATCTCATGCTCAGTGTCTGGTGAGGACCCAAACTTCCATGTGATTTTGAAAGCTGTACACTCTAATAAGCTCAATACCAGCTGAAGTTTTTGCACTAACTGCTTGCACCTGCATCTACATGTACCTAAGTACAGGTATAAATAAAGATATTTAATGAGAAAAAGAGAATATGATATTTATTATAGAAACAACACAATAAATATTTTAAAAATCCTGGCATTCACATATTTAAAAGAAATTAGGTGACTCCTTTATAGTGCTATTTCATTATATTTTTCAAGAAAGGAATGAAGAATTTTAAAAGGTTCAAAGGTAATAATTTCAAGTTGAGGTATAGAAAAGGATTTTGATCACCTAAAAAACTATACAAGAGTTCTTCAGCAGACAAATTTTTCTTCCATATAAATAGTGGTCATTTGGAAGAAAAAGCCCAAAGCTGACAAATGGTTGAAGGTATCATTTAGCTCTTTGAGATGAGAACATGTCTCTTTCACCAAGTTTGGAAAAAAGACCATCAGTCACAGCAAGTGCTCACATGAACCAGTTATTTAAACATTCTCTAAAAAGTGAAAATAAAATATTTTATCTTATCCCTACACATAAGATATTCTGTTATAAGTAAAGCTTCTTATCACAATTGCCCTTTTATGTCTGAATTCACACATTTTTTTTTCTTGAAATGTAAAAGTAGCAGCACCTTAAGAGAAATAAAATGAGAACCTTAACAGTTTCACAGGACTTCATTTACAATCATGACATACAGACTGTGAAACTCTTCTCCCAAAAATAATCCTCTCCATAAAGTCATTGTTTAGGTATAAAATCCCCTCTTTATTTTACTCAAATTTTGCAATGTCCCCTATCATATATAAATATGAAGATTAGCATCCTTTAAATTTAAGTCTTCACATAGATATCAGAGCTGCTATACTCCAGTCATGTCTTCAGATAATGTATCCCGTGTCTAATTTCATTCATGTATGAATTAAAGTCTATTACAGAGTTTAAAACTTCCTGAGTATGTCTAAAATACTCTATAAAATTGGGGTAATGGTGTCTGTGTTCTGAAAGTTCTTGTACAAGGTAAGTCTACAAGACTTTATTTTTTCTGTCCTCAGTGAAGCTGAGCCTATACTGAGCGTAGAAGATACAAAAAAAATTCAGAACATTGTTCTGATCCATTTCCTTATTTAATAACACATTTATCAAGTAAACATTTAAACCATTTTTTCTTTCATTGCCAAAATAATTTGGATTCTATCTGGTCAGAAGAGAAAATATGACCGGTAGGAAAACTTTCAGCTAACTTCTAACTCAAAAAATACAAGACTTGGATAACATAAATTTTAGAAAGAAAAGAAATATTCTCCTTTCAGACAGAGTGTCAAACAAGTTTCATCCCAAAAAGAAATATTAACAGGTGGGTCAAAGTCTCCTGAATAAAGCGTTGCCGTCACAGTGTGTCAGGATCCTCACTGTAGTATGCAGAACAGCAATACGGGTACAAGATTTTAAAAAAGCCCCAGGATTATCAAGCTTTCATTCATTAAAAGAGGTGGATAGCACTCTGCATCCTAGTACAACATGCATTATGAAAGCACGCTCTTATTAGTACAACTTGTGTTTTTGGTACAAGGAGAGAAAATCTGGTTAAAGAAGGAATCACACAAGGAAACTGAGTGGGATACTGCCTAATTCTGAGAGCGCACTTTCATTTGTTTTGCCTGCCAGTGTTGATTTAATTATACTGCATTATTATCAAAGCTGCATTATGTACTTTTTTATTCCTTTTACATGTGTTTGAGGTGAAGACCTTGGCTTTGTCGGCAAACAGCGTGTTTCAAGTTATTTCTTAAGTACTAAATAATAAAGAAAAGAGAAGAAAAGATTTTTTTTGAGATAGCAGACAGTGATCACAAGTTAAAGGGTTAAATGTAAGATCTCCAAGAAACATTTTGAAGTTGATTAAGACCCCAGCTTTGCATTAAACAGTATCACTTCCACATGAGTTGTTGCTAATGCTGTTAAGGAGCAGCTTGAGAAGCCCAGTGTGCCAGTGACCTCCTTCACCCTCCAGCCACCCACTAGGGCTTCTTGATTAGCATCCTACCTGGTTCTCTGAGGAATTCCCGTCATCCCCTAGGAGTTCATTCCGCACCTCATCACTGTAGGCGATTCGTGACCTTTTCTGTAAAACAAAAAGAAAAAAGGGTTAGGAAGTAAAGCTCCGAAGCCATTGGTATCAAGGCTGATCATCTTAAACCTCGAGAGCCCCCTAATGGATACCTATTTGATTAAAAAAAAAAATAAAATCTGCAAGTGAAAGTTATTACAAAGTTCTTCAACTGCTGTACCTTAACAAATCTGCATGGCAAAACTATAGGATTTCTAAGACAGTCACACCCTCAACATTGCAGCAACAAAAGCAACTTCTGTGAAGCTTGAGCTCTGTAACATGTGAGGCGAGGCAATATATACTAATAGTAGAAGCATTGAAAAAATGCCAGTGCAGGAACCAAACACATTTTTCTGAAGAACACTTGCTAGTAGGTCAAAGAACACAATGTTAACAGCAATGGCAGCAATACCACTAGACAGGAAAGGAAGACAGAGCTTTTCCCATAAAAAAAAAAACCAAAAAACAAAAACCGAACCTGAACAACACTAATGTGATGCATCTGATTCAATTTAAAGATGTAAAAAATTAACAAGCATTTCCTATGCTGCTAAGGCTGCTGGGAAAGGATCAGAAATTAAAGGGCAAAAGAGAGGAGAGAAAATAACACCACAAGGAAACAATGATTTTCAGCAGTTCATGGAAACACCACAAAACTGACACAGTCGTCCATGGGATCATTATGACAGACAGGATATTAAGTAAATTCACAGTTTATGAGCACCAGATTTGCTCTTGAACGGATAATTATGTTGATTCTAAACTAGATCAAGTGCCAAGCACTGGAAAGCAAATGTGTGATGATTAGCAAGGTAGCAGAGGATTCAATGGAGCAATGGGGAAGGCCACAATGAGAACATCAGCCCAACTTTCAATTTCCCTGTTAGCCAAATAACAGGCTATGACTCAGTTAATATTCCCACACTTACCATTAAAGGAGGGATTGAATTTTGAACATATTGTCCAATTTACTTTCTTTTTCAGAGTAGTTATGGTAATTTTTACACCTCATAAGAGGAAGAAACCCAAGAGCAACAAAGACTAAGCTGTAGGGCCTTCCTTTATTGATGGGGGCTTCCCTCACACCCTGCCATGATAGTGACTACCAGTAGGAACTCAGAAAAAATTAATCCCTCTTCAAACCTCCCCTGCTTGGGCCATCATGCCAAAACTTGTGCTTGGGACCGAGGCACAGGAAAAGAATGCTAGAAATTCTACTGAGCACAGGGAAATTCATCACCTTAGTAACAAAGAGGTTTGGAAGTGGGTCATCCTTTGTGCAAGGGACCTAGCAGTGAAATAAGCCTTGTATGGGTCACCTCAGAGCAAAACATTTTAGCTCTTTCTGCTGGGTAGCTCCCCTTTATTACCAACATGATCACTACAATGTTTACACATTTGTGATTCACTTGCCATCGGATCCCAAAGCTACAGATGTGTGTAGGAAGGACAAAGCCCTGGACCACGGACCCACTGCAAGAGGTGAATTGTGCCAAATCTTTTGGAGATCTCAGCTGTCACAGTTTCATACTAACCCAGCTAAGGTAGTCTACAGCATTAAAGGAAATGAGAACCTTTAAACAGGCTGTGGTATCAGAGCTGCCTGTTTAAATTATTCATTTCATCACTATGGGGGACTAAAACACTCCACAGTATGCAAGAATATCATATGGAGATAGGTTTTGTTTTTCTCTTTTCTCACCAAAAAGCCAACAAATTGGCATAGATTGCTCAATTACATTATTTTCCTATTTTCATTTTATACACATCAAACAAGGAAGGAAATTACAAATATATAACAATAAATATCTAATCATCTTTTCTGATTAAGATTCAATGTTAGGACCTCATTTGAGGTCTAGTAGTTCAACTGTACAGTTTCTTCCAATTTCACCAAATGACTCAGCCCCATTGATCCTGTTAGTGTTGAACATATTTATCATTATTAGACTGAGATGAGGAGCATGATGCTTCATGAGCTTGTTCTCTAGTGAACAAGCTTCCTAATAATATGTAGGGACTGAAATGGTCCTTGATTACACATCATTTATTTGAAAGATATAACTGGATGAAATTATCATTCTTAAGAGCTTGCATGGGAGAAAGGAAAAAGAATATACTTCATGGGAAAGAAATAAATGTTAATAGCAATACAATTTTTAGAGGCCCTTTATATTCCTTTATTATCATCATCAGTGAACTTAATAAATATATTTGTATCATTGTTCTTTGATTGTAATAATCTGTCAGGATCTAAAAATCAGAAATTTTATTTAAAGAAATAATGCTTTGGCTACAATTAGATAGAACTCTTTGCCATAATCAATAAATAATTTGATACTACTTTTGATCACAGTTTCACTACCAAATGAATCAATAATATAAAAGGAAAGGTCTTTGAACTAAAGTGTTCATTTATTCTTTCAGGATTTGTCCAAAATATCAATATCTTGAAACACTATTCTTATTTTTATTAAAGTATTATTGGTTAACATTTTTTAATGTGGCTATTAAGATTAATTCAGCTTGTCTGAACTCAATAATTAAGTTTTTTTATTATTATTTTTTTATTTCATAACCTTCAGCTGTTTATAAATATATATACTTTAGCCAAATGCAAGAATGATAGTTTGAGCTGGAAATGTCACACACTCTGCTACATTTTGAAGGAACCCAATTCATAATGCATTTTATAAATAGTTAATGACTTCTATACATAAGCTAACCAGGCAAATCAAGAAATTGTCAACATTTTTAGTCTTAGTTGTCAGTTACCACTGTCTACTGGTACTTTATATGTATGTTTCTAGAAAAGACAGAAGCTTTACAGAGTTTGTAATCCAAGGCATTTCTGGGCAGCTCAATATAGGTTTAAGAGGTTCTGTGTGCAGTTTTTTGTCTGCAAAGCTCTGTCACATATAGAAGTTTTCCTTGTATTTTATATTTTCTTGTATATACCTAGACAAAAAGTCTCAGCACAGAAGTGGTTTTGCTCAATGAATGTGTTTGCAGTTGAGCATAGCGTGTGCCCAAACACAGAGACACAAAAGGGTTAAGCTACTTTCTGCAAGAACTTCAGCACTCAGAAAGTTTCAGGGGCTGTTTTAAATGTACTACAGTACCCAGACCTTCTGACAAGGAAGAATTTCTGATTCCAGGCAGATCTCTCTTGGTTTATGAACAGGATTTTTGCATACTGATTGGGTGATTTCCTTAAAGCCCTGTTCAAACAGATACACTTGCTCAGTTCTGTCTGGCAATTTGGCTTTAAACAATCTGTCTACTTGACCCAAGCCTTAACATTTCCCAATAGAACTGAATGTGTTCATAGGCAAGCCCAGCTAAATTAGAATTGAAATGAATTAACTCAGCTTAAACTAATTAGGATCTGTGATCAGCAGCACCACCCCCCCTGTATGATTCTACATGTGAAGCAGGGTACACGTAACCAGACTGTAAGAATTCTGCTGTACCACTAATCTGAGCATACCAATGAAGTTCTTCTATTACTAAAGCATATGAGAAGTTAATTTCCATGGCCTACACATGGCAAAGCAATTGCTTAAATTGCCTCACCTGGGAATTTAATACAATGTTATCATCAGACCAGCCACACTGTAAATAGATTTATAATGCTTTCCATGTGCTAGGCTAGGTTGCATATGAATTAAGTAATGATCTGGTATTACAATACAATCAGCTAGTTCCCACACCTGGCAGACAGGATATTTTGCTAAATTACTACCTATACAGATACATCACAACATAAAAACAGAGAAGGTAATGGGAAGAGAAACAATCTACATGGTGTATGACCGAATTTTACACGGTAACCAAATAAGATGTAGATAGAAAGAGGTATCCAAAATAATCTATTTCCAACATCTGCACAACAGAACACATACTTATTCATTTCTATTCAATTTTGGCCTAATTTTCCGCATTCTATACTTTAATTACCATCCACATTCTGAAATGTTCCCATTAGTGAAGGCCAGAACTAGCCAGTGCCCCCTCACTCCAATGCACTTCCAGCAATCAGCCAAATAATTGATATAAAGTATTGCACATTTTCATACATGAACTAAAGAATAGCTTTCCCCCTCCTAAATGCTAAGCAGCCCCCAAACAGATGAGCAAATGTAGGTGCATTTCAGACAAAAGACCCAGCAGATCCTTTTATCCCAACCTTTCACATTTTCAGGCTCAATGTTTTAAGAACAGATTAAACAGATTTTTCTGGTGGAATAAGTGTAAACAACAAAAAGGCTTATTTATCCACAAACATCTGTTTTCATACAAAATCTATTAGAATTTCCAAGTATATATACATGTTTTTAAAAATCTCCAGGCACCTGTTTCACAATTTGGCCCTGCTCAAAATGTAAATAAATACTTGAGATTAACATAACAAGAAATAATTTGTGGGAATATATCAGATTTTATTTTGTGTTCTTTGACAGTAGTCACTTCTGCCATTTGCTAAAAGCAAGGTGAAAAAAGTGACCTGATCCCCAAATGGACAGCTAAATACTGCAGAAGATACTCCTTCATCTCTGCCTTTTGGAATAGGTATTTAAGTATTTTTTGCTGAGCACAAATGGAAAAGATACAGTTGAACAAATTTAGAGGAAAAGTGGCCCTACTTAACAATCTTAAAGCTTATATTGAAACAGAAACCCAAACTGATTTCTTAGCAAACAAGAAATATTGGAATTTCTTTTCTATTTGAAAAATTGTGTTCAAACATCAGTTTTCAAAATTTATACTTAATTTTAATTTTCAAAACCATATTTCTCTGTAAAGGTCATCAAGGAACAACAAACTAGACACTTCAGACTGCAATTCCAAAGGGGTTTCCAGTTCCTAAGTGCTGAGTTTTTAGCAATTGGGTGCATGAAGAAGGAAAATTGTGCTAATATACAACCTGGTGCAATGCAGGACTTCCAAGCATTTCCTTAAGAAAACTGAGGAAAAAAACCCCAAATGAATACATTCCTGTCCAAAAGTAA